AGGACCAGCTGCTCTAAGCACTTAGTGATGATGGGGGTGAGTGCTACTGGGCGGTAGTCATTGAGTTTCAAGGTTACAAATATATTAATGTATGAGGCAAACATTTAGAAAAGCTCATAACAAAGAAGAATTCATCACATTTTGTTATGTTCTAAAGCTGTGAGGATTTTTAAATAGCCTTGTTTGCTGATGGACTTCTACACATAAATATCGACTAAGATCAACTCTTATGTGTTATCTTAAAGAATGAACAGCAAAAGTTTAACAGCGGGGCAGAAGAAACCAGATGCTCAAGACAAACTGGAACGTCTGCTGCTCAGAGGCAGAGCTGTTCATCCTTTGCACTAACCACAATTCATTTGCAGGAGCATTAAGAAAGAAAGAGCAGAAACCTAACCTAAACCTAAAACTAAGCATAGCACACAGTATGTTCACACCTGTCATTTTTATTTATATTCTGGGAAAAATAAATAAAGCTCACTATGGAGGGTTTATAGTGAGTGCAGCATCAATGCTAGTTCAGTGGGTATTTTAATAAACCAAAGTGAAAATGTTCTATCGTTTTGTCACTGTCAGTGGAAATACTGAAGTCAACATTGATTCCAATTTCCCCACACAGTCTCTGGCAATTTACTTCCTAAAAAATCAGCCACAAATCACAAATTTCCATTTCTTTTCTTTTTTTTTAAAACTAATTTCATCTAATGTTAGTTCACATCTGAATTTTATTCAGAATTTTTCAGAATTTGAGAGAAAATAGTGAATTTTTCAGGGTGACTTTCAGTAATTACTGAGTGTGGTGAATACAGGATGAACAGATATAAACGGTTTCCATATTTCCTATAGGTATGAAATAAGTGTATGATGAACTGAATTATTGGTTGTGGTATTTTCATGACATTTAACAGAAGAAGGGGAAAAAAATAGACATGCACAACAAACAACTGCTGCACCCACACAGCTGTTTTGAAGCACCATAACAGGTCACTGAAAAAGCAAAGGTTTACCCAAAAAAGAACCTTAATGTCAAATGAGGAACTTCACAGCTCAGAAAAGTTAGCAAATCCTCTGTATGTATGTTATTACCCTCTGTATGATGCTGTGATTTTGACACGTTAGATCAGTTTGTGCTCTGTGTCTCAGTTCTTGTGTTTCTTGTCAGAGCAAACCTCTGCAGTAATGAAAGTCATGTGGTGGGTGGCCCAACAGACTTCAAAGGTAGCGTTTCAACCATGTTCTCATGCAGGTGACCTACAAATGTGCAACAGCACGTTGCTCAACATCTTCACTTGCGTACAAGCTGTCAATAACTATTAATAATCGGAGTGATGTGGGTCAGGGTGAGCTTGTTCTCAGAGTTTGCAGAGATACTTCATCTGTTTGAGTGTGACTGATATTTCAGTTTTGTGTATATTTTATCATGCAGACAGGATGTAAAATCCAGTATCTCCTTTATTTTTCAGTGTTTGACACGTTTTTTCTGACATGGTGCTATTCACTAACTGAGAACATTCCTCCATTCAAGGGAACTGAGCTGCCATTTTTATACAACTAGAACTGGTTTCTTTATTACTTGTCACTTGTTGTGCTTAAATACTGTTCTTTAACATAAAATTGAGTGACTCCTTACATGTTTCAGATCATAACTGACGTGGTTTGAAATAGTTCTCGACTCAGCCCGGTCCTGAATTATATGATCAGATTTCCTGAAGGAAAATTTGAGGGACTCAACCTTACGGAAGGTTGGGGGTTTGGAAAGACCCCAAGTTGCTCTCTGATGCAACTGAGTGCGATGGTTCATGCGTACACTGGCATGCATACCTTTGTTTTTATGACAGCGCAGACCTGTTCGCAGAGACTTTACATCAAAATGCTCAATGCATCTCCAGCCATCCATGTTAACATCCACAGCAGAGCGTAATCAATGCTTAACAAATTCCCTACCACACATACACGTCCACACAAAAGAAAGTATCAGCTGTTGGCCATGGAGTACTTACAGTTTGGATTGGCAGCGCTCCTGCACAGACAGCTGCAGGTGAAGAAACAGCACCAGAAGACAATGCCGAGTATAATGTAGAGTAAGTTAAAGTCATTCATGACAGCAATAACAGGGAGAAGTGGAAGTGTATGATGGGAGTTCAACCTGAAAAGAAAACAAAGAAATTATTGTGCAAAACATTAAACAGAAGAAGAAATTGTTACATTGAAAAGAGTCATATTTTAACCAGCTAACAGTTTGTATAGGGGTGGTGTCAGTGTGTGCTCCTTCCTCAGTCCAGTCCTGTATGATATTCTGACAAGATCTGCTCACTTTTCATTTTGACTCCTACAAGATAACTTTAAATATTACTGGGAAAGCCCCCCCTCCCCCGACTTTTATGGAGGCCCCCTTTAGTGGCCTGGAGAATAACAGTGTGCAATTTTCAGTACTTCCAAGCACAATGAAATGACAATAGTTGAAATAGCACAACCTGCACTAGATAGAGGTTGCTACATGAAAACAAAAAACTAAATTCAAAAAAAACTAAGTCATGTCAAGGCCAGGAGGAACCCTATCAATCCTCTACAGCAGGCATGTAGAGACACATAGTTTAGGAAAGTTAGCGATGATGCGGGAAACAATCGAACAAACAACAACAACAACAAAAAAAACCCAACGACAACAAAAACAACAACTGTGGCTCAAGCTTTAGGTGGACTTCAGGTTTCACGTCCTGTTTCTCAACACCAATCGGAGTTTACAACACACATGTACACACATACCTCTCTGTTCCTGTAATTGCACATAGAGAAAAAATGGAAAAGGGAACCATTTAAAAGAGAAATGATTTACCTTACACGACTGTCTTAAGGGTGATTTATTATCGATTGCAGGATAAATTAGAAAAATGAACAAAGTTGCTATTTATTATTCTTGTTCGACTTGACAAAGTGCTTCTCGTTAAAAAAAAAACAAAAAATATACTTAACGGACAGGAGATGGAAATATCATATAAAAGAATTAGTCATTAGTTATGACAATTCACTGCTCAGCGTTGGTTTTAAGAGGTTGTTGATTAAACTTGAGTTCCGTTTCAGAGGCTGTGGTTCTGAGCGCTGCTGAACTGCACATAAAATAAGGTGGAACACCCCCCCCATGTTACAGTGTTAGTGAAAGGTTTAAAACACAAACGGTAACGTTAAAAAAATAACCTCACTGGCATCGCACCGATAACGGACTGCTTTTATTTTCGGTTTGAAGCCAACATCACAGACTGCATGCCGAGACAGATGAGCTGATGCTGACAAGAACAACAAGTGTTTACAAATTTAAATGATCAAACTTACCGGATACACAAGGGGACAGGATCACACACAGAGCCAACAATGACAGTTTTAGGGAAGTCTGATCAGGAACTACTGCTGCAAAGATCTTCTAAATGTGCCACCTTGCTCAGTTCATGTCCCAACCCACTTTTTTCATTCACAGACTATTTATATTCATGATCTATAAGTACGACTTTATACACGGTCTTTACTTATGAACAACAATGAGGTCACTGGGGACCGGACGTCGGTATTTATTTCATTTTATCTTTAATATAACAATAATAATAATTACAATTATTACTGAAAACAAGACAGTAAGAATTGGTAGGCTACTAATCGATTACTTTCTCGGCTTTTAATTTGAAAATACTCTTCAGCGCGGTTTGCGACTGGGCCACTTTTATTTTAAGTGAGGAAAGAAAGAAAGAAAGAAAGAAAGAAAGAAAGAAAGAAAGAAAGAAAGAAAGAAATCATAGTAAGCTTAACAGGTTGATTAAATTTTCACTTTAAGGATATTCCACGAAAGAAAGTCAAGACAAAGACAAAATGAGTTGTCACAGCCGATTTATTAGTGCAAAGCTCTCTGGGTTGACCAAAGAGCCTCAGGGTAAATTCTCAAAAATGCTAAACGTGAGCGGAAAATTTTAAACCAACTGAGATACTTTACCTTAACAAACAAAAACAAGTGTTATTGTTCCCACTGATGCAGCTTTACTGTCCCAGCATACCTTTAGCCACTAAAATACATGAACCAAGTTACTCTGCAGTTTCTCATCTTCATTCTAATTCTGCCATTTGTGCCTAATATGTTGGATCATTTATGTGTCTGGTTGTGGCACTGTGACTATTAAGTCTAGGGTAGAACAAACTCAGGGTCGCATGCAGAGCTGGTTAGGAAGTCGGTGCTATCCAGTAGACCGTTGTACTCATGCACAATACACTCTGAAGGGTACAGTGGATCGCTGGGGATGAACACAGTCTGGCTGGAAGGCATCAGGTGGAGTATACCAACTGGAAAAAGAAAGAGAACTTAGCGTGAGACCACAGTCACACTAAAAATATATTTAATAGCAAGAATATGTAAAATATTACACAGCAGCAATTTGAACCTTAGCATTAGATGACAAATATTCTGAAGAGAAAGAAACTACAATATTGTGTCTTAATCTGCAAACTTAATATAACGTGTTGTTACTGTAGGTCAGTGTGCTTTTGTCCAACTCTAAATCTTTGTTCAATAATTTGCAGATCTATTTGAGAATGCACCACTCTTAAAGTAACAAATTAGCTTCAATATCAGAAAGTTATGCATTCATTTTAAGAGTTATTATCTTTAATTTAAAGAAAAGTTGTCCTAATTTAGATTCAGTCAAATTCAAAAACATGTTGAATTTTGGTCTAATTTGTGTCATATTTCTTTTTCATCATTTCTGTGTCTCTGGTGTTTGGCAGGACACTGATTACACTGCGTTGCACCCAAGTTTCTCTGCTCTGCAGTGAGTCAACAGACTGAACACAACACAGTTTATAATTTGGAGTTTCTGGATGCCTGTAGAAAAACTGGAAGCAATATTTCACTTATCCATACTAATATATTTTGGACACACTAACTTGTTTCCTCATACGATGGTGGTGGTTTTTGTGGGAATGGTGATGTGGTCATGAGCTCAGCTGCGTCACCAGGCTCTGCTGTTGTTGGCTGGTAGGCTCTCTGGTGGGAATGAGAGGTGTGAGTAGCGGTAGCCACCTCAGCTGTAAGCATACAAGTAACAAGAGATAAGAAATGTTACAGCTTTGGTCGTTGTATATGAAATGAAGGAGTGCAGCTTTAAGTATCACCTGTTAGTAGTGATGGAGTACTTACACTCTTCTTCATTGGCAGCGATCTTGCACAAGTAGCTGCAGAAGCTGATAAAGAATGACAAGATACCAACGAGAAAGACGTAGTACATTTCACTCATGACAGCAGTGGTAACAGGAAATGGATGTGTAGGAACAGTGTTCAGTCTGAAAAGGCAACAAATAAATAATTATCTAATGCAAAAACAAAGCTGAAGAAAATGTTGGGATTTATTGTTCACCAAATCAAATTGAGGCGAAGCATAGCAGCCAGAGTATGATTAAAAACCAGTAAGACCAGAGAATACACAAAAATTCAGCAGTCATATTTAAATCAAGTAACAGTTTATATAGGGGTGTGCGTAATCCTTTAGGCAGTTCTGACAGCATCTGCTCAATGTCCCAATTGTTGAAGTCCTTTGCTGTACTCCTTTTGTTCTGATCTTCACCTGCCTCGCTGACTGTAGCATAGTTTTTCTCACTTTCGATTTTGACTCCTACAAGATACCTTTAAATGTCCTCGAAATTTCAGATTATTTCAGATAAAATAATAAGCAGTTGTTTAATTCAGATCAGATCAGAGCAGAAGCGCGTTGGCTTTATTGAGTTGTTAATTAAGCTCGAGTTTTGTTTCAGAGGCTGTGGTTCTGGGTGCTGTTCAACAGGATGTATAGAAAAGGGTGACTGAAATAAACTAATGTGAGAGAGTTAATGGAAGGTTTTTGTTTTTTAAGCAACCTCATTGATATCGTCCTAATAGCCGTCAGGGTTTTTTTGTTTTTGTTTAATTAAATGTTATTTTCGGTTTGAAGCCAAAATCACAGACTGCATGCCGAAACACGCAGTCAGATATGTGATGCTGATAAGAACACCTACACAGAGTTAAATATTTAAACTCACCGGATACACGATGGGACGGGAGCACATCCAGAGCCAACACGTCTTAGAGGAAGGGGTCTGATCTCAACCCCTTAACGCGAAACTACTGCTGTAGATCTTCCACACACGTGGCCTCCACACTGAATGCATATTTCAGCCCACTGCCAGCCTTCTTCCATTCACAGACTATTTACAATCATGATCTATAAGCACATCTTTTCTTATGAACACGGCCGAACAGTGAGGTCACAGAAGTCTGTTTGTTTATTTATTGTCGAATTAAAAACAAGACAGTAAAAATTGGCATGTTAACAATTAATTTTTGACGCTTTAGATGGCTTTTACTTTGAAAATTCTCGACGGCAAGTTTGGCTAAACCGCACAGGCGCGAAACTCAGACACTTTTATTTCATAAGAGGAAAAAAATATTGATAGTAAGTCTAATCGATCGTAATTTATTTGCTACTTCAAAGGTATTCCGTGCCAGAAAATCAATAACGACAAAATGAGTTTTCACAACCCTCATAATAATATTTAGGGCAGATTTATTAATCTGGTTTGGTTTACCAGCCAGAGCAGGACTGGTAAACTGGCATACCTGCAATCTGCCAGTTTGGGTAAGTGCATTTTTAATTATTTTTGTTGTCAATATCACTACACAGGCTAAGGTGCAGGTCACCTGTACAGGATGTACAGTCAGATCCAGAAATCAGCTCACTCAATGGGGGAGCGTGTGATGTCCTAACAAAAATAATACAATGTAAACACATCTTTTACACACTGAAAACAGCATGCATTAAAAAAGTGGAACTGTATGTGTTCAGGAAGTGTGAGTGATCAGCTGACCTGACATGAATGGAGAAAAAACCTTCAGTAATAAATGTTTGCACTCTTTGAATTTATTCACATGTAGCATGACTTACAAGGCAATGCACACAAATACACAGAGGAAAAAAGGTTAACAGAACTTTGCAGGTCTGCAGTAAATTCAGAGATAGTGATGAGATGATATCCACACTAGAGATGCACTGTTTGACAACTGATTGCTTTTCTAAAATCTATAACTCAAACTGTATTCAATGTAAAAAAATATATATATAATAAAAGAATATAATAAAAATGATAACAAAAGCTATTAAACTTCACAATAATTTTCTGTACAACCGCCTGACTTTAGCTTCTTTAACGTGTTCATATTTATCTTGCATGTGCATCCATCGATGCATTTCTAATGAACACTGAAACACCTTCTAACTGCTTGGGGCGCTATGACTATTAAGCCTAGCGTATAACAAATTCAGGGTCGCATGCAGAGCTCGTTAGGAAGTCTGGGCTGTCCTGTAGACCGTTGTACTCATGCACAGTACCCTCTGATAGGTACAGTGGGATGAACACTGTCTCGCTGGAAGGCATCAGTTGTAGAGGGTAGGCAGGACCAGCTGGAAACAGAAAGACAACTTAGCATGAGACCACGATCATACCAAAAAAACTTAATATTACCAACAAATGCAGTTCTGTAGTGTAAAAATAAATATTATACAGCAGCAATTGAAACCCTAACAGCAGAAGATTTCCAGAGAACCACGGTTTTGGTTTTCAAAGCCTGTTTTGACCTGTTTAGTCTAATAAATATATTGTTTTCATAGTTTTTGTTAAATACAGGGTTGATCAAAATCCCAAACTAACTTGTTTCCTCATATGATGGTGGTGGTCTTAGGAATGGCTGTTCATGGCTGGGTGATGTGGTCATGAGCTCAGCTGGGTCATCAGGCTGAGCTGGTGCTGGCTGGTAGGACGCTCTCTGCTGGGACTGAGAGGGCCCAGGTGCTGCAGTTGGTTGCTGAGTGTACTGCTGAGAAGTGTTATTGACATTTGTGGTGTGGTCAGCGGTAGCCATCACAGCTGTAAGCAAAAAAGCAACAAAAATGTTGTATTCATGAGGTATCTATAGCGTTGGTTGTTTTACATAAAGCAGCTGAGTTATTCAAGTGTGGGGAAAAGTGCTTAATTAGTTTCACTTAAGAAATATCCAACACCTGTACAAACAGTGATAATAGAAGACTGTTTACCATGTCATGAATTTTAAACTATTTTTTATTTAGTTCTAAACTGATTTTCACACACTGTCATTCTCTCAATTTAATAAATATGATGTCATTTCCTCTATTAAATATAGAGGTTTACTTTTTTTCCACTGTACTTAGACTTCACTGTGTGCGTACAGTTGAAAATGGAACGGAAGAAAAAGAACTGTGGGAAGACGAGGTGTTAACAGAGTGGTAGTCAACAAAACCACTTCCTGTGAAGAACATTTATGTGGCATTGTCTAGTTAACAAACAGGTTCAAGGTACCAACA